AGTTTGACTGGCAGGTGTCATATCCCCGCGGCACTCGCTTCACCGTTGCAATGACCGACAATGGCAAGAGCGGATCAGGAGGAGTTGGCCTGATTTACACCGTCTCCAGCGCTCGAGGGTCGGCTTCTTGCGATCCCGCGAATCCTGGACTGACGCAAGGCCTAATGGCCGCTACCTCTAGTGTACCCAAGCAAGCGACTCCAGCTAGCAGCAACGCCGCACACAAGGCGACGAGCACTTCCAGCAAGGGCAACACCTCCCAGAAGAGTGGGCAGCCCCGCAATCCGAGTGCTGACGATGCCGCCAAGGCAGAAAACAGTAGCTCGAACGGCGGGGCGATTGCTGGGGGCATCATTGGAGCTCTGCTTGGTATATCGCTGATTGCAGGAGCGATCTTTTGGTGGAAGCGGAAAAGGGGGCAAGAAGAAAAATCAAAGCCGTTTGACGACCAATTCGTCTCACCTTGGAGGTACGAAGTGGATGGTCAGCCAGCGTCGGGCAGCGGTGGTCGCTTCCGCGCAATGAGTTCCATGTTCTCTACTATGACGGGGCCGAAGAGATCTGCAGCAGCAGAAGATTCTTACGCGCGGGGCTATGGAGCAAGTGATACGACGGGACTCGTGGCCGCAAATAGGCTCGATGGACAAGCGGAAACGAGCTCTATAGGCTCTGCCTACCCCGCGACAGCTGCTGGCATGCACCGACGCACACCATCACAATTTGGTGCCAGCTCCGGGCACGGTGCTCCGCCAAGTACCAGGACAACACGTACTACCCGTAGTCGCGCTCCCAGCGTCCACTCCACCGTGCCAGATGATGCGCTTTTCCCGCCTCCTGCTCCTCGCGTGGTTCCGGATGACGCTTTGTTCCCACCTCTAGCTTCTCGCGCTCCATCTTCACTTGCTTCACGCAGCAACGTTGGCACTCCGATCGGCGGTGTTGGTGCCGGAGTCGGTTCAGGCATGGCGCCGGCGGAGGAGGCACCGCTGAACCCCAGCCAGAGGAGCAGCGAATTGGTTGGAAACCGAGAGTCTAGGTCACCTCGTCAAGGCCGAGGCGCACGCGCTTCCGAACTCGATGTGCTAGAGCGCACCCTCAAGCGCGAACGCGACGCGGCACATCCTCCCAGCTCCTCTCATACAGGCCACGAGACTACACTTGATGTGCGACGAGAGTCAGCGCGAAGCGTGGAAGATGACGTCACCACACGCTACCATCCCGTTGGCAAAACATCTGCAATGGATCCGTATACCCACATGTCCACACTCTACGATGACGCGGAAGTCGCCTCTCGATTGAAGCAGTACGAAGCTACCCGCAAGCAAGGGGAAGGGGCAAAGGCAAAGGCTTCCTCCTCACCGGCAACTCGCGCTGGCGGGCTGCCCACGCCCCTGAATAATTTGCCAAGCCGCTCGCCACCCGAAGTCGCGTGCGAAGTCATGATGCCCACCTCTCCATTCCGCGACCCGCCCAAGACGTACACAGCTCAGCGGCTGTACGACACCCAGATGCAGCAGGTGCAACCGCAGCTCCAGGCTCGACAGGTCTCGGAAAGCTGGGAGGAACAAAAGCGGCGTCAGCAAAGAGAGTTTGAGCAGCAGCAGCAGCAGCATCGTCAGCATCAATCTAAGCCCGCCCTCGCAGCGCACGGTCCAGCGCTGGGAGGACCAAAAATCTTCCGCTCCCAAGCCGATATCAGGAGGTCTAGCGTATCTTCAAACGATAGCGCTGACGGGCTCGCCTATCTATGAGCGGCGCTGTGGCTCAAAATGGAACCTTTCATCTCTAAGTCCATCATCTCGGCGTCACGGATCGTATATGTCTTCAGACGGCATTTACCTTTATTGGCCTTTGTGTAGCATCACCACGTCGCCTCTGCGGGCACTGCGTCATTTTGTCTTCTCCCTGCTCTCCCTCACTGTCCTTTCCAGATACCAACTTTATTCGACCTCGTCCACGTGAAAGCACCACTGCTGCAGCTCGGCTGGTCCTTGCACAGAGACCGGTGGTGATCCCTTTACTCGGCAGGTTTTCCGCCCTCTGGCATATTACGGCCCGTTACTAGGCGTCACGACGATGGCGGCAGTCTATAAATTGAATGTGAAGTTATTGACCCGGAATCGTTTCGTGTGCAACGTTCGATGCGCTCGGAATTTTCGGTCAGTCGTCTCCCGCTGGTCAGGCTCGTGCATATTCATAGCAGACGAAAGGAACCGCGTCGAGGCAATCATGAAGTGAGTCATCGTTTCCTCATCTACAGTACGAAATGGGTTTGGAAGATCGATTGGGCGCTCTGAGCTGGCCTCTGGGCAAAGTCAAATGGTAACGTGAGCTTGGAGGCGGGATGCGCGACCGGCGTTCAACCGAAAAAGTTGCAGATTACGAAGCAAAAGTTGCAGATTACGAAGCTTGGCACGCATGCGCTGCTGGCTGGCCAAGGTCATTCCGATCACGACTCGACGCCCTCATGTCCGCTGCGAAGAGCTTTTGCGTGGATTCTTGAGTGGCTATACAGCGATGAGCTTGAGGGCAAACATTTGTGGGGGCAAGGGGAAAGCTGCATTCGCACTGATCTCGACTGCGCGTGAGGAGCCAAGCGCCCTCTGCAGTATTCAAACTGGTCGACCCCGTTGCCGCGCACGTCTGCGCGCGCGCAGCACGTTCCGCGTCGGTTCCCCGGCGGTCTTGACGTCGCGCTTATTTGGGTACGGCATGTAAGAATGGAATTGTTTCGTGAATGGTGCGGTGCGGCTGTGACTTTGGAGTTTGATGACGACTACAAACCTCCTGATGGATATCGATTTGCAGCTATACAGAAGTACATGAATGTGATCACGAGATCGCCTGAAGCCTGGATTCTACGCAAGATGAAGTTCCTTGTTTGACATCATTCTTGGTTGCTCCGCCATTCTTGATTCAGGAAGATGCACGATTGTAGAAGGAGGGCTTCGCTTCGCGATGAAAGCGATCTGTTGTTTGGGGGCGCGAGTCGTGAGTGCCCTCGATCAGCAAGGACCCTTCTCAAACCTCTTCAGCTATACGATGGACGCCAATCAAGGCAAGTCATGGATCGCAGCATGTCGCAGTACGCGTGTTGCGCTCGCACCCACCTATAGACAATAATATATCGCAGTCGTCGGGTAGTCGAGGTCATGCAGTCAGTCAATGGAAGCATTAGCACCAGGGCACAGTCACAATCACAAAAATCGAGAGCCGCTGCTGCTATTCATCCGCGGCGAAACCTTGGCGTCCAGTTCTTTATATTGCAAGGTCAAAATGTGAGATGGCGCGTCTCTTTGGTGGGCTTGCCGTTCGTTGGGCTGGATGCGCACCCATGCATGCATGCACGCAGCAGACGCAGACGGGGCATTCAGACTCATATGACACCGAGCAAAGAACGGGTGAGTGAGCATGCACGCAGTCACAGAGGCGACTTCACACAGACATGCAGACCCGGCCTTTAGTTGCTATAGCTGCCGCTGCTGCTGCATGCAGCTCTCTGCTCTAATTGAGTCGAGAGTGGCATATATGATGATGCCCAGCAAAGACCGACCTCGAGACTGTGGGGCTAGTCCACACCGCATGCTGCCTCGACGCCGCACGCCAACGCTAACGATCAGCGTGCATGTCTCGGTGCTGCTACTGCTGTCATCAGCAAGCAACCATCAGCATGCAGTCATGAGTGTGAATTACGATCGACCTTGAATCAATTAGGAATGTGAATGATCTCATTCTGATTCACATCTCGTCTTGCCTCGTGGACAGTCACGGTCTGTTTCGGAGAATAAGTGATGTAAGAGCCGTACTTCCACCCAAACAACTTTGGCTCAAGGTCGCACCGGCACCGGCACCATGGCCGCGCGATCGATCCTTTGAGGCCATAATTGAATATAATACATATGCTGAGGCTGCGGGCGAAGACAGCCACCTCAAAGTGAGCAAGGTCTCGTGAACGAGTCTTCGACCAAGCGTATCGCCTGTCGACGGTTACCGCTGCTTGCTTGCCCCTCGCTAGCTGATGACTCAAGACTCTTGACTGTGTGAATGTGTGTGTATCAGTGACTCGTGCATATGAAGGCTCGCGCCTTGGGCACGTCGGTTGCAATCTCAATGGTCGATTCATCAGCATTTGCACAGGAGCAGGGAGCTTCTTGAATTCGGGTCCAATCACTAATCGACCGCTGAATACAAGTGATCCGCTTTTCTGCAGACCACTCAAATTGGCCATGTGAGAAATATTATTGTGCTCCCGGCCGTCTATCCTGACTTGGCTGCGCCCGTCCCGTTTGTATAGTGATGCGCATAAGTACGAGGAGCCATGCATGCAGTGAGTGCAGGCTGCACACGCAGCAGCAGCAGCAGCAGCACGTCTGCTCTGCTGCTGATGCTACGGCGCGCTGCAAGCTGCCCGCCCGACGTTGCTGACGTTGGGCGCGTCTGGTACACTGGCCGACCGCCCACATTCAACGGCGCGCTTGTAAATGCCTCGAGTCGCGCTTCACCGAGCAAGCCAGCCCTCACAAAACAGCTGTGACTGTCCACGATAGCTTTATCCAGTACCTCAATCACATCCAGCACTCCTCTTCAGGGTGTCTTCGCTCCTTCTTGCGACCTTCCTTTCTTTCATTCGCGCTCAGTCTCTGCTAGTCGCCCCGTGCGATCGCCGTGTCTCTCGGGTGCACAGTCGAGCACGACCGCGCACACTCCAGCCTCCTTGCTCGATAGGACCTTCTTCGTCGTGGATCCGACCTGATTCGCACCCGCTCTCTTACCTTATCCTCTCTCAACTCTCACCTAGACTGCAACTCGGCCCGACATCTTTCCGATCTATTCCTCATCGTTTTAAGGTTCGAAACCCTCCCAATTTGCCAAGCTCCTAACGGAAAGTCAGACTCGGCGTAGCATACAAAGAGTAGATCGCGCCTTCATGCGACTTTCCTAAGGTTTCGCTCTCTGATCCAGTCGGCAAGTCCTTCTCTCTTGCTTCTGACCGTTGACTCATGGGAATCCCTCTTCGCTCTTCATCGGATCCTCAAAGGGACGAACGTCTCCACTCCATCTACGACAAATATCTCTACGATCCAAAGGATCTATACTCGCCCGATCCAGTCATCCGCGAGCTCGCCCGCAAGCAATCAATCCTCCGCAACGACGGTGCTGCAGAGGAAGCCTCCGCCAAAAGACGCCAACAGCTCCAAGAGCATCAAGAGCGAGACTCGTTCGTAGACTCCTCGAAAGCACCTCGACACACAAGGAAGACAACTGCCATCCACGTTGTTGACGCGCCAATGTCAGCTGCCAGAAACCGGCAATCTGGTGGTGGCGTCGGTTTTGCCTCAGGTACGAAGGGACACGATGGTAACGAAGGCGGGCCGTCGCATCAGCGTCAAGAGAGCGGTGGCGGGGCCTGGGCTGGCTTGATGACAGGCACTATGGGCGATAGCGACAGTGACAGCGACTCGGATGACGACCGTGTTCGCCGTCCCGCTCCTAACCAACGTGTCACACCTTCGACGCAGCCGTCACCCCAAATAGCGGGCGCGAAGAGCGTCGCGGGCCGTGCCATGAATGCGGCTGGCGAACAATTGGGCAATCAACGCGGCAGCTGGACATCGCGTGCGGCCGCCGTTGGCTCAAGACCCCCCGACAGCGCATCCCAGAATCCACCTTCTCTGAAGCTTCTCGGTCTCAAGAGCTTGAAAGATGGTGGTGCACCTATCGGCGGCGGTGCCGCAAGCTCCGGCTCAGCGCAACTCCCACAATCCAATCGACCCGCCCCTGCACGCCAGGGCTCTCCCCTCAACATCTCAACTGCTCCTCGGCAGACACCCAGCCCGCATTTTGACATGATGACAGAGCAGCAAGCTCTCGAGCGAAGCGGCAGCGCGGGTCAAGTCAGCCACAGCAATGGCGAAGACGGGCATCTCCAGCAACATCAAAGAGATGAATCTAGGACCGGCGCGTCCTCGCGACGCGTGCTCGATGACGTGACGGACGACGATGTGGGCCGTCACGGGAGCACGATCCACTTCGGTGCGGCGCCAGCGCTTGCATCACCCGGGCTGAGAGGCCAAGAGCAGCATCGTTGGACAGAAGAGGACAGTCACATCGCCAATCGTGGTGCCGTGCCAACCAGTACATCGGCACAGACCTTGCAAACGCCGGTCGAGGCTCACGGCCGTTTGGCAGCCGGTGATCGCCCTCCAGCTAGCCCTCGGACTGAGCTGACCCGTCAGCTAGGCTTGAGCTCCTCGCCTGTACAGCAAGCAACTCGTCATGCTGGCTCGCCTGCCGTGCGCCCTGGTCAAGCTCAAGACTACTTTGGCAATGCAGCACCTCCACCTGCTGCACCTGCGCCGGCTCATCAGCACCAGCAGCAGCAAGCCCGACAGATTGAGCGTCCTTATCCTCAAGATCGCTCACCCTTTGGACAGCAGGATCGTGGAATGAACGATCCACGCGGTAGTCCAAACGCAAGCCCTGAAAGCCTGCGCCCGACTGCTGGCAACATGCCCCCGCCTCGCCAACTGCTCGCAGATTCTCCTCAGCAGAATTCTCACATGCTTCCAGGCGACCGTCGGCAAGGTGCGGCTCCTTCCAACTTCCCTCAGCAGCGAGGTGAGCGAGAGCAGATAGGAGGTCCTAGATCACCAATGCCTCCTAATGATGGTCGGGGCTATCCGAATCATATGGGTGGTCCGGCCGTCCCTTCCGCTGCTATGGTTGGCCCTGGTCGTGACATGCATTCCCAGCCGCGCAACGTTCCAGGCCCAGGTCCTGGGCCTTACAACCAGCCTGCCCCAGGCGGCTCTGCGCCGCGTCGTCCCGTGGGTCCACCTCAACCGAACGGTTATGGTCCACCAGGAGGTCCCGGCGGCTCGGCTATGCCGCGACCACAGTACAACAACTCCGGCCCAAACGGCGGACCACCGCCCCCGTTCCCACAGCCGCGCGGTCCTGGTTTCTCGCAGTCGCCAGGCCCACAACAGCGCCACTTGCAAGAGAAGCGTCAGAGCAACGTCTTCCGTCGTTCCATGGCGTTCCTCACCGGAGGTGGCCAAGATGGTCAGGTGCCCCAACGCAGACCCAGCAACGGGCCCAAGAGACAAAGCGTGTTCCGTCGCAGCATGGCGTTCCTGACCGGTCGACCACCTCCTCAGCCTGCGTCGGAAGACGACGACGAGAATGCGCCTCAGCCTCGCGTGCGGGGCTTCGTCGACGAGAAGCCGCGCTCTCGAACAAAGAGCACTTACATGGGCGCTAGCGGTATGGGTGACGAGTGGGACGTCAATGGTGCAGGGGCCAAATTCTGGAAGCGCTTCTCTGCAGCTCAACATCGCGCAGAAAATGGTGATCCAACCTCTGAAGCGTACAGGCGCAGGGCCCTGAACGGTCGAAAGCGTGTCAAGATCTTGGTCACCATTGGTCTGATCGGAATTATTGCTGCTGTCGCTGGTATCATTATATGGCGAGAAGGCATCGAGCATACGACGGACACACCAGGCTCCATCGACAGGTCAAGCAACGGTGGAACTTACATTCCACCGTCCGGCTCTCACACGCAAGCGGAACGTGGTGACGGGGCCGCTTCCCAAGCCGCGCCGACCGCATCTGCTTTGGCGGCTAGTAGCGCCACGGATGACACCGGTGTTGCAGAGCAAGACACGGGCACAACTCGACACCACCGCCATCACCACAACAATGAGAGGGACGTGGACAATGATGCGAGCCTCGTAGAGCTGCTCGGGCGCAGTACCGCGCCGCCAGAATCGAAAGCATTTGCAGGTGCCGATCTGCTTTTAGCACCTCGCGCTACCGGTGCCATCGCTCGGCCTTTTGGAAGGAGCAGCGAGCCCATCGATGTCATCCGACGTCATCAACAACAACACCATCGCATCGCCGCCTCGAAGCGCGCATTGTCTCAATAGACATCATACTTCAATTGAGGGTCTGAACGGTCGTTGGCAGAGCTGGCTCTCTCACCGTGCAGGCAGCACTCTTGTCCGTTTATTTTGCCTGTCGTTGCCGAACAAGTATTCGGCTCTCGACATCGAGTCGACAGATGCTATGCTTTGAAGTAATCGAACCCTCAGCAAAGCGTCACCTCGTCAGCTTTTCAGCAACATCGACCATCCAATTGCCACCCATCCGCTCATCGCGATATGTCCTGTGTAAACCAAATTTGTCCGAGCGCACCGTCCGTCATTACTCTGTGTCTCCTCATCAGACACGCTACCATTCGTTCACATCGATTCTCTCCCCTCTCACACGTTCCGACGTCTACCTCTAGCCACACATACGCTCATTTGTTTCGCTATATCGCTTGCTCCATCTTGCCTTGCCTTGAGTTGTGGACAATACATCCTTTGATTATCGCTTTCATGGGTGCCTCGAACGTCTCCCGCGAC